GTATCTGGGGAGCTGGAAGATGAGAACTGGCGACTTTGTAGTACAACGGAGTATCTGTGGAGCTGGAAGACGCGGCTGAAAACTTACCTGGACGAGACCTCGGAGCCCAACCTTGCGAACTTTGCGGGCAGTGGACGCATTCCTGGTGCGAGGCTTGTTCGCTGCGGCCGTGCAACGCCGTTTGTACCCAGTGCGATGCCGATCACCTTATCTGTCGACCATGCCAGCGTCTTGGGCGGTCGTGGGAAGCGGCCCGCGCTGCAAATACCATGCCGCCCGATTGCATCGAACTCAGCGGCTACCACGACCAGACTGGCAGGTTTGTTCAGGTGGACCCCCCGCTCCGCATCCCACTGGCGGACGTGTCACCAGATGGCACCCTCGACGCCGCCCAGTTGGCCCAGATGGTCGCCGCCGTGTCTCCGGAGCGGACAACGCAGTGAGAGTCTCCCCGACGCAGGGTGTCACCTAGATGTTCACATGGTAACTGCATGTCTCGTACCACGACTTCTTCCTTACAAATCCTGTGTGGACGTCGTTTTGCGGAAGCACGACAAGTATAGACATAGTGTCGGGGAGTCTCTGCCCTATACAAGGGCTAGTCGCGAGCTGAACGACCAGAGCATACGAAAACATGCGCAGTGCCTGCTATGTGTCACCTCGTGCTACTTTGTTGCATGTTTCTGTGGGAGAGGCGATTGGAAAATGAGCAGCATAGTGGTTCTCAACTACATCTAGAGCGAAGCACATGTCACCCTCAGAGCGCCTGTGCCAACAGACTGTGCGTTTTCCGTGACTGACCTTTCAGGGCTCACAGTGACATTGCAGAAGTCTCCATACAACTTGGGCCAACTACCACAATATCAACTCAACAGCAATGAAGAATATACTAGCAAGAAGTTTGAACGCGCCCCACAAGCTTTTGCAATATTCATTTCCCACATAAACCTTTACCAGGCAAACCGAGCCTTCTTATGGCTATGCATGCGCTATTTACTACTTTACAGCCCACTAGCTCGTAGGTCTCCCTCTTTACCCAGCCATCATGCCAGGGAACCTTGGCATTGTTGACGACCACTTCTTCAGCGTCAACCAGGATGACCAGAGACAGGTGTGCCTCTGTTGGTCCTATGGAAGCAGGACATACCATGACGACCAGCCAGAGCTCATCCATGAAAGATGGCCAAACCAGTCCATAGCAACCAGATGCTGGGTTGCCCATGGAGAAACCTGGCAGTTTTGGCGAGTGGTCCAGTGGTCCAGTGGATGGGAAGACTGGGTTAGGAACAACAGCCGCAACTTCACAGATGCCTACACCATCCAGATCTGCTTCGGGGGGGACGCGCTAGACCCAACCAACTGTGTGTCTCATACCGTGACTTCTTCCTGATATATTCTGTGTGGACGTCGTTCTGCGGAAGCACAACGCTATCCTTGCTGTGTACAAAGACTAGTCGCGAGCCGAACAACGAGAGTGCGCTAAAACATCTACAGTGCCTGCTGTGTGTCACTTCACGCTACTTTGTCGCGTTTTTCTCTGAGACAGTCAATTTCTCTGAGACAGTCAATTACTCAATGACAAGCATAGTGGTTGGTTATACTAAAATATCTACTCAACAGCAGTGACGAATATACTTGGAAGAAGGTTCACCCAACCCACAAGCTTTTGCAATCGCACATGAACCAGAGCCTTCTTATTCCTCTTTGCCCAGCCATCATGCCAGGGAACCTTGGCATTGTTGACGACCACTTCTTCAGCGTCAACCAGGATGACCAGAGGCAGATGATGATTCACACGTTCTTGTTCAGTCTGCAGTGCGGCATGTGGTGATGCAATTGTTGAGATGGCAAAGCCAGCACGCTGGCTAGCATCATAGTCGAAGTGGGTAAGCCAGCACGCTGGCTGCCATTGTCCAGATGGCAAAGCCAGCACGCTGGCTGCCATCATAGTTGCAGTGGGTATGAGCCAGCACGCTGGCTACCATCCTAATTGAAGTGGGTAAGCCAGCACGCTGGCTGCCATTGTTGAGATGGCAAAGCCAGCACGCTGGCTGCCATCATAGTTGAAG